CAAGATAGTTCTCTCCCAGGTCCCGTGTCTGAATGGTTGGGACAACTTCAACCGGCTTGTAAGGCCAGATTTTGCCGAGTTCATGGAAGGCGAATTCCAGAAAGGTTGGTCAACTTCCATAGCAGTTCATTGCACGATCCACATCGCTAATCCTCGTCTCCTTTTCTAGATCGACTTGAACGAGCAGCCGGAAACGCCCCTGCCACAGTCAAGGTGGTAGATGAGAATCCACTAGCGCCATCTGCACTCCCCACACCCGACAGTTATGACTTCTTCCAAAAGCTCTGGGCTCACAAGTCAGCATGGAAGAACGAGGTCACGCTCAAGTCATTGGAGCTTTTCCGTGCCCACGATCCGTCGGCGTGGATACATCGCATCTCACCAACGCCACTGTTGATGACGGTCGCGGAAAATGATGTTTTGACGCCGACGGACTTAGCTCTCGAAGCCTACTCTCGGGCACGGGAGCCAAAGCAACTCTCCATCTTGCCAGGCGGGCATTTCGACGCTTATACTGGGAACAACTTTGAGCGAAATGTGGCTCGGCAGATCGAATTCCTTAAAGAATATTTGGGAGTTGAAGATAACTAGCCTTGTAACTTGCGTTATATAGGGCGACGAATTGATATTACTGTCTGTGTTGGGACAATCTTGAATGCAGTTGAGACTTGTGGCCGAGAGCTTCAATCAGCAGAGAGAACTTAGTTCTTTGGCTGAATGCAGATGGCATTAATGTCAAATTTTAATGTTACTTAAAGTTGTCTTATCAATCTTCGCGTGTAAGTCCTTCTGGAACAAGAATTCGCGTTGCTCCTTGATTCGTCAGTTCTTAAATATCGTCCCATCCAAGTAAACCAACTGAACAAGGCGGAGCAAGAAAGACATCGCGATTGAGAAGCCAGATCTCCTCCCGAAGTTGATTCGCAAAATGGATGGAAGAATCCTCGTAGTCTTCAGATAGTACCTTTAAATACCTCCAATGGTCCATGCAGTCATCTTCCTGCTCGAGATTGACTCTAAGGAACTTTCTGTCGTTGGCATAGAATGGTGCATGGAGAACCGGATTTTCGTATTCCACTTCGACGCTGTCCTTCTGAGGAGGAGTTCCTTCTCGCCGTTTCAAGTTGTGGTCGATTAGCCATATGTTAACAAATAAGCTGCAGGAAGCGAGATGGAACAATTCCCTCTCACTGTGAAATATGCCCCACTCGACATCGTACTCAATGCCTAGGTTAAGAACACCACCAAAAGACCACGCTTTTGTATGAAACAGATCAAGTAGATGGATCCAACTGAATTTGAACATGTCATCAAATTGCAAGACAATGAGGTCATTCTCCGGGAAAATTGTGATATATGACGGGGCACTACCGGAGAGGTAATGGGCGGTTGCTGATCCCAAGCGGCTCTGGCTGGACGCGTCGTTTACTCCGAAAACCCTTCTCATCATAGATCTGGACTCTTGGCAGACTGTCCATAGTGAACTGTCGATCAGATATGTCGATATGTCGTGGTCGCTCAAGCCGTTGGTGCTGTCTGGATATTTGTTCCGTAACGGAAGCGCAAGGCGAGGCGGTAAGCTCCATCGCCTCTGAGACGCGCCGGTGACTGAAAACCCCATAATATCCCTTGCATGTACAGGGTTGTCGGGTTCAGGATCATACACCCGAAATATTTGAACACCCGGCTTGTCTGGGCGCATGGCCATCATCCAGATCTGTTCCCGAAGCTCCAGAGGGAGTTGTGAGAAGAGGGGGAATGTACGTTCCTCCATGATATTCAGTCGTGGTTGTCAATACTGTTCGAGAGGAGGAGTGCTGGGGAGAAAAGTTGAGCAAATAAGGATTTTAATGAGGGATGGTGGAAATATATACAACATGTCCGTTGGAACGAAATAGAAAGTTTGCACTACGTGGCTCAGAGTCTGAGTCAGAAGAGGTGGTTTATGGTTTGTGAAAACTGGCGTAGCTGCTCGCCATCTGTATTTATGTAAACTGTATTGTCTTTTACTTTGGTGCGTTGAGGGTGAAGCCTTGACCTCTCAACCTTATCACAGCTTGCCATCAGTCCAGTTTGTGGGCGGCTTGTTTCTTCTGGCAGCTGTCTAAGGTTCAAACTTTCGTAAATGTTCAAATGTGCTCCAGGGGATAGAGGTTTTTGTTTTGCCACAAATAACGAATTTTATCGATGAGTGCACGCAAGTGGTGGCACCATCTGATTTGGTAAAATGAATACATCATTTACAAGCTCTTCCATTCGCCACGCCCAGATGTTCAACCACTTATCCCAACATCAAAGACGGCCCCACCCAAGAAGTCCCGGGATTGCTCCTGTACGTTGCTCAGCCCCCTCGTATCGCTCTTCATACAACTCATGCAGTCGGTCCGCAAAGTATAACGAGGACTTGCGATGCTCTCCATCTGCAACGGGGTTGATATATTCCCAGTGAGCCAGGCGGTCTCCCCCCTTCTCGAGACCAGTGCTAGAGAACTTTCTGTCGGCCCCATGAAAAGAAACATTCTCACATGACCAGAAATCTTGACCACGCTTTTCATCGCAAGGAGGAGCGTCTGCCTTTCGTCTCAGATTATGGTCGATTATCCAGACGCGAGTTCCGTAGTAGACAGCCTTACAGAACCGATCGATCCTGTTCAATACATCGGCTTCAATGCCCCTTTCGTCTTCTTCGTAAAGCTCTATGGCCCACTTGTGTCTGTATTCAATACCAATGTTCCTCATGTCTTGTAAGCGGCCCAATGTCTCACGACCCCATTTTCTAAAGTTGAGCCTGTCGAACTTAAGGATAACTAGATCAGTACTGTAACAGATTGTGAGATACAAAGGAGGACCACCAGAGATGTAGTACCCCTTCCACGAAGGAAAGCGACTATACTGGAGTGGCTTATTCTTAAAGTGCTTCTGCATCATGAGTCTTGACTCATGGCAAGCTGTCCACAAGCCGACATCGATTAAGTATGGCGATATATTGAAATCGCTGTCACAGTCGATGACATCGAGATATATGTTCCATAATGGAATGGACAAACAATTACCGGTCTGTGAAATGAGTCGGTAGGCAGAGCGACGTCGAGGGAAATGGATTGTGTCTCGTCGGCGACCTAGGACTCTCGAGCCAGGGACTTGTAGACGTAGCGTATGTACCGCTGGCAGATCTGGCCGAATAGCGTCCTCCCATATTTTTAGCCTAAGCTCTTTTGGAAGTGCTGAGAATAAGTGGAATTCTGATGCCATTTTGGAAGTATCCCAGAATAGCAAGTGTAAAGGTTGTGCGATTATGTTCGGGCTCTGAATGAGGATACCGCCGAGATGTAAGGTGGGCGACGTGGCCTGAGTAGATGAGGGAAAACGAGAGAGGGCACCTTTATAAACCATACCATGATTAGGGTTTCAGGAAGAATGTCACCAATGTCATGCGAAACAGAGCACGGAAGTATAAAATGTCATTATTTTCTCTCGTGGCCTCTCATTGGCCTATGTGGTATCTTAGACGGATAGAGTTCCTTGCAGCAAAGCTTGCATCTAAGGCCAAACCCTCCCGCCTGCGTCAAGCTGACCCGTAGCTGAGAGCTTAAATCAGCCGAGAGAACTCAGTTGAGACATTAAACTTTTGCCTTTGCCAATTAAGTATCTGATTCCTTGAAAACATACTTCTGTGTATTGGGAGCAGTCCTGCATCTATGCATCAATACGTTTCCCATCCAAGAAGATGTACAGAAGTAGGGAAAGCCTCGAACTTTTCTTGTCGCACCGCTTCGTGGTATGGATTTTGTATCCTGACATCTAGCCCTAGTGCGAACGCGAATGAAGACCTTTCTATATCTGGAACTGGCTCGATATACTCCCAGTGACTCAGAAGACCGTCACCCCAGATGTCTACCTGTATAAGCCTCCTGTCGCGTGCATAGAAGCACAAACCGTCAGAAGGAGGAGCGTTTGCCTTTCGCTTTAGGTTGTAATCGACAAGCCATATGCCTTGCGAAGTGCAGCTTTGGAACAGGGTTGAAATCTGGTTAAGTGCTGGACATTCCCCGTTGTTATAGTGCATTTCAAAAAGTTGCGGCCCCCAATCTGACTCATATTCGATGCCAACATACGAGATGCGGTAGCTCAGCGCCTGATCAATGTCTTCCAGGTTGAGGCCCATACTGTCCGGTCGCAGGACAATAAGGTCATGCGCTGGATTTATTGTGAAATAAAGTGGCGCACTTCCAGAGATGTAGTAGCCCATGACTGGCTCGGGGACACGAACTTTGCCGCACTCGATACTCCTGGGCCTTGGAAAGGCTTTTCGCATCATGGTCATTGATTCATGACAGGCAGTCCATAGTCCAGCATCAATCATATATGTTGACACACTCTTCGCGCTAGGCTTGTTGGCGGGAGCCTCGTGGGCTAAAGGTACAGCAAGACCCAGTTCGTCGCAACCCCGTTCACGGAATCGATCCTTATTGTATGAGAACCGGACGGCCTCCGGAGACTGACGATCCCAAGAAGTACCGTAAACTCGGAATATGTGAACTCCTGGCTCTTTCGGGCGAATAGCTAGACTCCAGATCTGCTGCCTTAGCTTGGTTGGGAGAGCAGAGAAGAGATGGAACTCAGTCGGCATGATTAATAGTAACCGGGTCTGAGATGTAGGAGATAGGTTAGATAAGCGCCAGTGAAATGGGTAGGGACAGAGGAGGACTTTAGTTGCGTGTCGAAAGAAGTGGAAATGGTGTCAGCGAGAAAGGTCAGACAAGGGATATATATATTCCCAAATAATTTGACTTTACGAACACTAAACTATCTAAGTCATCGTGAGTAAATTGAGTTATATTTAGGGTACCTCAGACGGATAGGGTTTGTTACCCAGCCACGAGCAGTGCACACGTGATGTGTGCGATGGAAAAGCAGAAATCCATCTAGGCTTGGTGATTCCACTGCCCAAAATCGACAAATATTCTTCCGTCAGGAAAAAAACCTCTTGCTTCAAAAGCTCAAAAGTCATCCCATCCAAGAAGGTCTATCCAAGGCCTGAGAGGTGCTTCATGGTCATCCATTCCCACTTCGTCAAAAGCCTCCACCATACGCTTCGCAAAATAGAAAGAAGACTTGCGATAGTCTCCATCTGGAATTGGGTCGATGTATTCCCAGTGTTCCTCTTTCCTTTCGTCGTCCGGATCCGCCTCGACAAGCCTCGTATCCCGTGCGTAGTAGCAACCAAGATCTTCGGGCCTGGGCCTATAAGGAGAATCTGCCTTGAGCTTCAGATTATAGTCTACTAGGCATACACCTGGAACCGTTTGATCCCGGCCTAGACCTGTAATCAGACTTGCCGCTTGACAAATCTCGCCCATAAAGTTGCGATCCCCATTCGGGCTTGTACTCAATGCCCAAAACTAAATCAGTTTCACTAAATGCCCCATAAATATCCCGCAAGTCGAATTCCAGACTGTCCGGTCGTAAGATAAAGAGGCTATGTCCTGGTTTTGTAATCGTGACGTAGAAGGGAGCACTTCCAGATAGATAGTACCCCATCGAGTCAAAGCTATATCCCTTGAGTGATACAAAGGCTTTCCTCATCATAAACCTCGATTCTTGGCAAGTATTCCACAACTCAGGATCGTGAACCTGTGTCGAAATATCACTGATGCTCTCTCCAGTGACACTGGTGAAATCTTTGTCCGACAAAGGTGTACCCAGAGCCAAAGGGGTACGGTAGGGGGGGAAGCCCGGGACGCCTTCGAGCTGAATCGAAGGTTCTTGGGAAGCATCGAATACTCGAAAGACACGAACCCCTGCGCGCCTTGGGCGAATAGCAATGGCCAGGTCCCAAATTTCTTGCCTAAGCTCAGTTGGGAGAGCAGGAAAGAGGTGGAATTCAGTCGGCATGATTGAAAAACGTCGGTCTAAAAGCGTGAAGAGATGAGATAAGTCCCGGTTTGACAGACGATCCGCGATCCTGTTGAGGGTAGAAGAATCCCTATGTGCGATGGAAGAAGGGCAAATTATCTCGTCCAAAACGGCCGGACATGGAGAGTTATATATGCACCATCAAATGATCAAAACCTTGAAAAATACTCCGCTTGAGTCATCAGTAAGGATGATGCGCATCATACGTGGGGACTGTGCGGAAGTGTAAAGGAAACAAAGCTATTACACCGGATGGGTTTATTGGACAGCATCGGTTATAACGGAGTTAATTGATTGATAGTTAAAGCTTATGACTTTTCAACGAGACATATCAAGCCAACACACTGAGAAGTCCAAATTTACTTCAGCTTTTGGAAGGCAATATGCACAGCAAAGTTTGTATCTTGGCATTGGCCACTCAGCACGATCCGTACTAACCTCTGCGCGATTATAATGAGCTATCAATCACAGGTCTCAACTGCACGTATCACATTAAGCCCATAATTTAGGCATTTTGATGCAGGCGCTCCAATAACACCCGAGCTCGATAATAAACAGAACATACTTTATTAGGATTAAAAGTCTTTACCCTACTTTGCCTGTGGTATATCTATCTTCGAATTTCTCTTTGAAGTATTGATCTACGTCGATAGGCTCACCTGAAAAAGTGATTAGAGATGGTAGCATTACTTGAGATATACTTATTTGTGAGCTGATGAGGTACTTTGCAACTTCATCCATTCAGAGCCAGCATCATGAATTTTCTAGATCCTCCCATCCAAGAAGCCCGATTTGATCTTCGCGATGCCGCCCTGGAAAACGCCTTGCCACTTCATTTCCGAGCCATGCAGAGTGAATAGATGACGCCCCATATTTTCCGCCAGCCACAGGATTTATATACTCCCACTCATTCAAGTTATCTACCATATCATGGATAGAAACTTGTACAAATTTCCTGCCACTGGCGTAGAATTGCATTGTGTCTCTACCATAAGACGAAGGGGCACCTGCTTTCCGTTTCAGGTTTGTATCAACCAGCCACAAACGGCGCTTTGGCAATCTTAGAAGTAGAAGGATGGCGGTAAGGATCACATCTAGTGAAAAGATAGAAGTGTCATTCGCCAAGCTGGTGTCCGTCCGTGCTAAATCATACTCGATACCAATTTCCTGACAAGACCCCATAAGCCAAGGGGGAGAACTCGGAGTACAAAGAAACTCTTCAATACGGGCCTGGGTGGCCCGCTTGCTAGCGGAGATATTGCCAACTTGTAGAATGAGAAGGTCTGAGCCTGGCCAGATAGAAAAGTAGAAGGGGTTACTACCCGAGCAATGGCTCACTCTTCCAGGCTCGGGTAGTCCATAGGGGCTGTTTGAGGGATTGGCGAAGTGCTTCCGAATAACACGCCTCGATTCTTTGCAGGCGGTCCACAGTCCGGAATCGATCATGTAGGTGGAGATATTCTTGTCTAGCGTTCCATCGAGGCCCTTATGATACTTGGAACACAGGGGAGCGCCAAGATACCAGGGCCTAGCGTCTTCCCTCGCCATGAGGCTTGCCCAATAGCTGGCTGTAAACTTCTTGTATACGTTGTAGAGATAATTCATGAATGAGCTACTCATAGGTCTATTCTCGTCATGTGAAGGCGGGTTGTGTATCTGAAAGATTTGGACTCCACGGTGGTGTGGTCTCATAGCGAAATGCCATATCTGGTCCCTGAGTTCTCGCGGAAGGAGAGGGAATTGGTAGAAGGTCGTAGCCATCGTGACGAGAGAAATCCGGTGGAGATAAGGAGCACGAGCACTTCTCATGGAGAAAATGATTAGCCAGATTTTGTGTCGAGGTGAATTAGCAAGGAGGAGAAAAGGAACGGCTCCAGATAAAGGAAAGGGATTTATACAATCCAATGGTATGGAAGCTTATTTCAATGGATTCTTCGTGAAAGATTAAACTTTTATCGTACAGTATGCTTCTGCAATGTTGATTCATCGTGAAAGCTTCTGGGTAAAAGCTTATATTGAGGAACAAAATACCGTGTTCTTATTCGTTACCTGTGTTTGCAGCCTAAAGCTTGACCTTATAGGTGGCAGTCATACTCACAGTTCTACAATGTTGATCACTTGACTGGAATAAAGTTTCAAAGTCGTGAACGCAACTCAGTCTTGTTCTGTAGCAATTGGTCAGGCATTTTGGTATGATGTCTAAGTTGTGAGCTAGATGTGTTATTTGCCGCTGAGACCTGTGGCTGAGAGCTTAGTCCGGCCGACAGAAGATAGATAAGCAGCCTGAGTTGCTATCTAGACGTATTATTGGCAGTTGATACTTGCGGCCTATGACAGTCCAGAGCCTCGGGTTATACTTCTCGCGCGTATCGTGGAAACTTCCCTCAGGCACAGACGACTTAACGCCGCGAGCTTCCTGAACCTATTGCCGACAGAACGCATTTGTTAAATAAGCTCAATAGATAGTTGCCCCTCTCGGGTAATATCCTCAAAGTGAATGTTTGTTTTTTCTGTGCAGAAATGTCCTACCCTCATGTAGTGAGCCAGTGCACCATCTGCCTGGTTCGAAGTACCGGACGCCGCTCGAACCAGAATTCCATGGATTTGTGGCATTCGAGTCATCAGGCCAACTCTGTGATTAACAAACTCGAGGACGGGCAGACATCTTATCTCGCCCGGCTCATGGTTCTCTAGCGTATCGTACACGTACTTTAATGACGAAGGACCAAACGATCGGAGCTGGCAGGACAGCTTCAGCGTGGCATTGTGGGCCATGCCGTTGACCACATGTGTAGCTTGAATCTCCAGGTCTGATACCAGGGACTCTATATACTCCCATGAATTGGGAACGCTGCTGACACCGACCGTTGGGCTAGCCCTTGAGCCAGATTTTGAACTTGGGTCGACTCTCTTGAGAAGGTGCGAGATCTTGCCATCCACCGAGGCCCAAGACCATGAGGGAACAGATCGGCCAGACGGTCGCCTTTTGGCTCCAGAGTCTACGACCCAGAGGAGATTGAAAGGTAATGTGTCTTCCCAGAGGCCAGCAGCATACTTGAAGCCCGTGCTCTGCTGGATGAAGTAGGCCACACCCGCAATGGCCATCATCTTGTCGTTATCATTCGTAAGGTTGCGGACCGAATAACTCGTCACCATTACATACCACCGCAGGTGGAATTCTGCCTTCTCCTTCATATCCTGTCCTCTAAAAGACCAAAGAAAGCTAAAAGCTCCCCTAATACTGAGTCGTGCGGCGTTGGTCCTTATAGATGACATTTGTGCGTCATAGCGCCGTTTCCTATCGGCCCATCTTTTATGCTCGGGATTGGCATACCAGCGTTTTCTGACCGTGTCCTTGGCCGGGCGTGTGACAGGTCTTGTAGAGATTCCGGCGCGTCGTACAATTGTCCTGCTGCAAAGCTGCTTGGGAGGTTCACGACCTGGATTGGGAACCGTCGGCGCGTTCAGAGTTCCATTCTGGCTGAACTGGGTGTTCAGAGGATATTCTTCTTCCCGATGACACTCAGAGGTAGTCAATGTGTTGCACTCGAACATCATAAGACCTGAGCAGAAGTGCAGAATCCTGCTGGCCAAAAATCTTTCTTGAAAGGTCCAGCCTCTCGTAGCTAGAAACGAACAATCCACCTTCTCCCCGAAGAGCTGGATCAGGTCGGCATATTTGACCGTCGAACGGGCCACGAGTGAAGAATTCCAGTTGCTGCAGAGCACGCAGTCGTAGGGAAAGAGATCCTTGGGTTTGTAGCAGCCGCCTTCTGAGTTCTTGGATGCTGTCGCGGATATCACAACCTTGGCTCTTGCATAAACGAGGCCCATATCGCCAGATTCCTCTTCCCATTCCTGGGTACGTTGCATGATGCAGAGCGAGTCGATCCATAGATATTTTATCCCCATTTTATAAGTTATATCAACGGCGTCTCGAAAATTCGGATCCAGGGTCTCTATCAGAATCGTCTTCATCGTTTCTTCGTTGTCGTTCCTCAGCTCAGACTTGACCGTCGTACCCCAGCAGTGACTAAGCGCAGCATACTCAACAGTACTGTCTGATCTGAGAGCTTTGCTCAGTACCAGTTGTATGACACCTTTCCCCCTGGCTTGCACATCGATGAGCCGTTTAGGAAGGTATCGCTGACTGGTAGGTCGGACGAAGTGGTTGCGGCAATTGAGATGCTCTCGCTCGCACTTCTCAACTATATCTCGGGCCCATTGAAAGCTGGCCTCGGAGTCAGTCATATTGGACTGCCCGCAATTATGTTTACTGGATACTAGGGCACTGTGTAAGTCATGAACACGCTGCACAACACATACCAGACGTACCATAGCTAGCATCCTCGATTTGTAGCCACGGGAATAGACTAGATCCTTTGTCGTATAAACGAATCTGAAGCGATTGCCAGCTACCAAACTCCCTAGTTGCCGAGATTTGGATTGAGAGGTTCCTGGCTTCGGCGCCTTGTTCACAGTCACGAGAATTGCACGACCCGGGGACTGCAGAAAGTAGTGGTGTAGTGATATCCGGTTCCCTGGCGAAAGCTTCGTCTGAGGATATTCCTGGTACTGGATTCGTCTGGGCGTCAAATGACGAATGCCAGAGGAGGCTGCATAGATGGCAGTCCTTGGAGGATTGCTGGAGCTGATCTTTTGTATAGAAGTCGTATTCTTCTTTTGATCGTATCAATCTCCAACGGGTGCCACGGAGGATGGAGGACTGGTCGACTATGTTGCTACATCTTCCACACAATCTGCAGTCTTTGCCCGGAGACCTTTCCAACCGCGACGCGTAACGTGGCGGCCTATGAGCACAGAATAATGAGAGAAACCAAGGACTAAACCCGGCGCATAGGTAAGGGAGTGCTAGCAACAGTCGGTAGAGCAACCCAAGAGCAAATAATGGCGATAGAAGAACGAAAATCGCGAACAAAACGAGATGAAAGCTTGCCAAGAGACTGACGATTGAGAAT